TCAAGAACCAGACCAAGGTCGGATGAAGGAGTTGGCTGCGCATCCCTGAGCGTTTCTTTAAGCTTGCTTTCTCAGGTCACCTTGCCAACAGCAGTTGACAACAGTTCAAAAGCGGAGTCAAAATGCGCGACTACTTGGTGCATGTACCCCCTGGCAACACGCGAGCAGATTAGGAAGCGATGGATCTTCTCGGCATGATGCGGCGTGTTGCTCTAGCACGGAGGCCCATGGTCGTAGCTCGAATGAGATGCCAGACAGATCCGCAAGCGTCTGTGACACGGTTCGGCCGCGAGCATTGCAGCCTGACCATCACGACGGCATGGCTTAAACTACACAGCTGCTAGTGCTTCATGTGACTCGCATAAGATACGTGACAGTTTAAGGAATCCGCCGCCTTTCAAACTAGGTCCGCTAGCTTCGAGGATGGATCCCCGTCCTGGCATGAAGCGATGGCAGGAGCGGCGCTGGAATCTTTGGGCCAGTGCGCTCACGCTCAACATGGCATCGGGAGGTGTGAGCCTTGCCCTGATCAGGAGGTTTAGGGGTTTAGGGTTTAGGGCAAGTGTGCCGTGCGCGCAAACCCGAAAACGCATTGTTCCAGTAGTGCCGAAACATATGGCGAGATAGCTGCAGGAGAGTGAATGCCAATAGCCGATGTAAAGTTTGACCGAGCACAAATCCAGCAAAGAGCATGTATTGATGAAGATAACGATGTTTTTTGACCTTGCAGGCACCTGTATCAGTGGTTTCGGTTTAGGAGTATGGCTATGATGATATGTGACGAAACGTGTCACTCCCATTTCGAGCTGGGGAAGCCGACATTGGCAGCTGGCAGAGGCAGAACCTGGAAGGTTGCAAGGTGCAGCTACGCTGACCGGAGCGCTGCTAATTGTTCATGTCCTCACCTTAAAGCTCTTTATAGATGTTCTACCGTGAAGCCATGGACCAGGAAAATGGTTCCAGGGACGAAGCTCATGGCTAAGGAGGGTTACGGATGATAGGGCGTACTACTTTCTCATACTTTACTTCAATGATTTTTGCTGCCTTCTGCTTGAAGCCCGGCTTTGCAGCCTGGTACTTCCCCAGGTCCAGGTGCCTTGTGAAGGACGCTTCAACTCAAGACTGATCTTGACATGAGGGCTGTGAGAGCCTCTGGCAATGGAGTTAAAACGCTCACGGAAGCATTGAACCCTTCAGCCCAGTCCCTTTTCAATAAAGCCTGAGCCAGTTCTATCCTCGATCTGACAGAACTCTACATAAAGGTTCTGCAGAACCGTTGTGCAACCCGCATACTTGAGAGATCTGGACAGCATCAGGTACGACTACAGCGCTTTTAGCCCGGCGGTGAAGGAGACGTTTGGGCTTTCCCTGCGAGAAGCGGACCTAGCTCTTTGCACCCAGTTGAGGGGTTTTAGGATGTAGGGTCATAGGTTTGCTCTAAGCCCTCGTTAGGTTCCCAGCAGAGGCTCTTGCAGGCTGGATGCAAAAGGGGTCATAGGTGTGTAGGATTAGGGCGCAAGGATATTTCATCATATTTCATCCACATGCAAATGTTATGCGGGCGGGACCCCAGCCCGCAGAATCGAAAAACAAAGCTTAGGGCTTGGGGGTCCGAGGTTTGGGATTTGGGGTTTCGGATTCAAAGTTTAGGGGCACGCTGGAAAGGTCATAAGCATGAAGTGCGTTTATTTCAGGGAGGGCAAGGTTGAGCGTGAGCGAGCGGCAGGGTGGAGAAGATGCAGCCGGAAACCGGCAAAGTGAGAGAAGCTGTGCACCTGGACACATACTCGTCGAAACGACGCAAGGAAGACAGACAGACCAGGTGTGCAAACTCACACATGCGAAGTTGACCCTATGAAAGAGCGAGCTGAAACGGTGCCGGGAGGAGTCTGTAGTATGATGAAAAAGAAGATGACGATGAGCAGGAGGAGGATCGTGATGATGCTGTCAGACTTCCATACTAGGCACCGCTTGGAGTAGTTGACCTTTGAACCATGGGATGCGCTCTGGACGAGCTCAGGTGATGAACTTTGCCTTCTTCTTCTACGCGGCGACCTCCTTCGGCTACGGCGTGGCTCGTCAAGTCTTGGAGGGAAGCGCAACATAGCGCATGGCTCCAACAGTAGCCAGAGATTGCTGCAAAACCCCTTGGGTAACGAATGTCCCCCTAGTTTATTACATAGTGGGTCCTCATGAACCCACAAATATGACATTCGGAAGTCTCCCGACATGACATGGGCACTTCAAATCGGCCTTGAGTTGCTCTCGTGTTGATCTTCATCTTCCAGGGACGCATAGGGTGCCGGGCACAATTGATCCCGAAGCAGCCTGAACTCCTCTGAGACTCAGCCAAAGTCCAAAGTCACTTTCCAACCATGAGACCTCGCTGGGCATTCTCATAGGGGCCGTGTCAACTTTAGGATGTTGGGTAGTTGGGGTAGTATCCGCTTTCTGCAGGACATGGGGATTTCCGTCGAGCCTCCCAGCCAGGGCTTCCGAAAGCTGGGCATCCACACCCTGAAACTCAGACTTCCATATGCTCATCGCTGTGAGATGTTGTGGTTTTCGCTGGCCTGGTTACCCCTAAATATCCTAACCTCCTACACCTTAAACCTTAAACTTTGACATTGAACCCTCTAGGTTTGTCTGGTCCTTTCCGAAGCTCTTAGGTTTAGCTATTCCCTAAATTGAAACATTTCCCCTTACTCGGTGCAGTTTGGCCTTGTGCCTGCGTAGCAGGGCATTGGAATTCTGGGCTCTGGAGTAGTGCACTTTTACTTTTGACTCCTTTCAATCTCTGAGAGCTTACCCCGTTTTCGAAGCCCATGGTGACTTCATAACCCAGAAAGTGCCCACCGGCCCTTCCGTAGGTTTGCAACTACAAGCTGGGACCCAAGCTTGGGCCACGCCTGGGCTGCTGTGTCATGCCACTGGCCGAGCAGACAGCATCAGGTTTGTGGATTCGAGTTGCGTAGCTTTTGTCTGATTTTTTCCCGAACTGCACGTTTCCTTGCATGTCGGTGGCTCCGGGACTATAGGAACGATGGGTGTGTCGGAGGTTGTTTATATCCTTCCTTGTGAATTTCGTACTGTAATCTCGCCCAAGTCCCTGGTCTAAGAAAGCCGCATTATTTCGGGTCAGTGAGTAGGGATGCTTGGATTGGCTCTTGGAGTGCTGGCCCTGCACCCATAGTCTGAAAAGAGGGGTTCCTGGAACTTTCCAAACACTGATGAGGACTGGAGGACGGAAAACTCGTGATGTGTAGTTTGGGTCGCTGTCAGAGAGGCTTAATCAAGCATGGTAAGAGGCCAAAGCTACGTTACCAACATCCCCGGCCCATGACCTTGCCGTCGGACTCCAAAGACAGCCGAAGGCTGTCCTGCTATACTGTGGTGGTGATCAACCTGAACCGTCCCCTTCTGCCAGGAGCACCTTATGGGCTTGGGGTATGAAGTATAAAATCGATTCTTGATCCTGGGTTGCGGGCGTCAGGGATTGGGCCTTGCTCTCTGGGACTGTTCAGCATGGACGGCAGTGTGGATATCTGTAGTCTGTAGTTTTTCGGCCGGCTCAACTTCCATGGTTCCAAACTCGGAAGACCTGCATCGCCTAAGAAGTTTCTAAGACCTTCGCCGATGCAGGGACAGGTCTAAGCTGTCAGAATTCTCTCGTTTTGGGACTGGGGTTTGGAAGGCCTTCCCATCCGGAAATTTGGGAGGTAAAGCCGGTGCGGCGCTGATGTCGCTGCTGCTTGGCATTGGCTGGGCCGGTCTCGGTACGAGCTTAGGGGCCACATTCCAGCGTGCCCGGATCCCAGCTGATCAAACTCAGAGAAGCACTTGAATGGTTTTCCGGAGGTTTCTGAAGCAAAGCTCCAAACTTCTGAGGTCATGCAAGTTTTCCCCCAGACCGATGGATGGGCCATAGGCCAGTCACCGAGAATTCCTGCCAGTCGAACAGTTGGCCGTTGAGTGCACTTGAATTTGTATTGTATAGGCCCGGAACGGTTGTGCTAGGTCCTAGGTCCTAGGTTGTGCCATGCATGCAGCTGGTAGTAGGACCATGGGGGTGTCGTTACCATGATTGGTCTTCCCGTTCCTCCACGAATGAAGTGACAGGAAACGACCAGTAGATTCCAAAATGCCATGGACTAGACGCTCGAGATAATTGGAGGGCTGACGTGCAGACTGGCGCAAGCCAAGCCCCGGTGTGCTAGGTTCTATATGTCCTTCGAACACGTTTCTCACAGTTTGATCGTATTTTGATACAGGCTCTGCTATGCTTTCCGTGCAGCACTTAACCTTTCAGTGGTGCACCATAGCGAAACATGCCAGCCCCGGCCCACTGGTCAGCAGGCTTTCCTAAACATATCTTCTACTGTGCAGCCATGCTCTCTTAATTCACCGGCCTGTATTTCTTAGTTTGTGCTTTGAAGGCGTGCTGAAGGCAAGCGTTGGAGCTGGCGGCGCAGCTTGGTTACATGGTATTTCTTCAACTCCTGCTTTCCACATGCACAGGAGGCCAAGGCTGTCCACATGGCGAGCGTCACGAAGAGAGGGACAAGGAAGGGGAATGAGAGAGCGGGGGGCTTGTGTGGGTGGTACAAACTCCCGCGCAGACTTGACTTTTGAGGCAGTGCTGCCAGCATTGTACTTCGGCCTGATGGGTGTGCGTCCGGGACAGAGCATGCTGGGCAGCCTGGCTTCTAGTGCTTGTATGTCCTTGTTGAGGGCTAGGCCAGGCCTAGACAGTAGGCAGCGGGGGTCCGGGGTTTAGGCAGTGGGCAGTGGGCGGTGCGTGAAGCCCAGGCATGAAATTCTTTCCCGCATACAGCAGCTGCCTTCTAGCACTCTCAACCTTCGTCGTCACCTGCTGCATGGATGCGCAGCCCGGCTTTTCCAGATCCGAAGCTCGCAACTTCCTGCACACCGCAGTCGCAGTGATTTTTATCACGACAGCAGCAACAGCTTCGAGTCTGCTGCCTCTCGGATCCATGAGCACATCTTTGGCTGTCGTGGCCCTCGTGTTCCTCGTTCTCATGCTGACGGCGGCAACCTGCTTACCAGATATTCAAGAAGAGAGGCCAAATCCAGCACAGGAGTCGGAGCCCATGCACATCATCATACAGCGTGCGGTGCAAACCTGGGAATATTGGGTGTACATTGGCGTATTTTGCACGTGCGCCGGTTCTGGCCAGATGATCTTGACCAATCTGTATCAAATCGCAGATGCGAGTGGCTACGCTGACAGAAGTGAAGCGCTCTTGTGTCTCGAGACTTGGGAGCCAGGCCTTACATTTTCTAGACGTCGCTGCTTTGTGGTCGAAGCAGGCCCTGAACCTCCTACATACAGCCTGCAAGCCCCGCCAAAATGTGGTTTGCCGTGCTTGCAGGCGGCCACAAGATGCCATATAAAGGTGCTCGAACTGCTGCCACGTGAGAGAGGATGGCGCGCATGCTGCAAAAAGTGAAAGGCTAAGCGACGCGCAATCGTGTTAAACTGCGAGGACTGGCACGGAACAGCCGTTAAGGCCGAAGTGCTGCCCGGGACGGTTGTGGCGCTGCAGGCAGTGTAACCTCGCCCGACATAGCCACCCTCAGACCACTGCAGGTGCGTTCCGGCATAGACCGAGGGACGACACCTGCTTCACGCACCACAGTAGACGACCGATCCCTGAGAAAAAAAATGTGAGTTGTTGCCTAGCACAGTGTAACCCGAGAAAAGGCCGCCACGACACGAGAACTTCGCACTCCGGAAGCAGTCAGCCTATCGAAAAGCAACGGAAGCGATGCACACCATAGCGCAGGTTCTGCCGAAGATCTCAAAACCCGGGCTTCGGGAGCAAAGTTTTACTTTTTGCGAGGATTCACGCTCGGGTCTGGTACCTAGCCGTCAGCCAGCGGAATACAGCCAGAAAGTTGCATCATGAGCCAAGACACCTCTTGAGCCGAAATGTGCGGGCACGGGTAAGACTTTGAGAAACTTAAACCTCTCAAGACGCGAAGCTCAAAAAAAACATGCATCTGCAGATTCGTGGTAACAAAAGATTCGTGAGGTGAATTTTGGGAGCATGCTGGGGCGGCTCGGCTTCGGAGCCGCCTGTGACGTGCTTCGGCGCCGCCGCGCCTCCCGAACTCTCTTGTTTCTGCTGTGCAACCTGCCGCTCGGCATGCTAACTACCTAGTAGCTTTAGCCGTTAGCCTTCATGGGTATCCTATGCACATCCATGTTACATGGACCTACATGCTTTGCCCCCACTGGCTACTCGTTTCGGTGCTTCTAGTAAACGGGAGACATGCAGTCGGACTCGAAAGTAGGAATTCCTAGTGTCACCCAGGGGAAGAAGACTCTGGAGGTGTTAACCAGTGAACAACACTAACACGAGTACAATCCGACTGCGAAGTTGGGAAACAGTGGTATCTCCAAGCATGGCGAGCGAGAGAAAAGTTCAGGCTTTGGGGCAAGGCACCGTCCGCTAAGGCATCGGTGCGTCATGTGAGTCCGAGGCCACTGAAGCCCAGCTGTAACTGTAAGGGAATGAGGTGTAGGAGCGACGATATTCGTTTTAGGATCGAACAGACATCTATGATGAAACTGTAATGTGGGTGCTTCTAGCTGAGAGGGAGCCTGGATTCTGCGACGCTAGGGCGGCCGTGGCCCTAACACAGTGCGTTGTTGAAGCAACTCATGCCTCGTGGTGTAGATACTGGCCGTAGAAATTGGTTGGCATGATTCGCAAAGGCTTCCTCTCTGTTCGCTTAGATCCTGCGCCCCAACCACTAATTAAACCCCTCCTCCACACTCTAGAAACCCCTCGAGTGCCGTAAGGCTTGGCATTGTGGGGCAAGCCCTCTTTTACATGGCGGCAGTCGGAGGTCAGGAGCTGCTTTTGCAACTCGGATCAAACTGGACAGGATCATCTAAGTAGTAGCCCCTAGCATACGTCGATTTTTCGGCTTAAGACTTACATGGTTCAGTGTTCTTGTTGCGTTGTTTATTTGTTGGTTGCATGTTTGCAGGGCTGGTCTTTGGATGTCTAAGGTATGCTGGCGCGGTGGTCACTGGATTCGGCTTTGGCGGCGGCTTTCCCACATTGGCCACCCCGCTGCAAGGAAGACCCTCTGCCAGACGATTATAATAAGAATATACAAATATAATATATATATATATATATACATATGTATAATTCGCACTGGTTCTGATGACAATAGCCGCGATCACAATAATTTCAATCACAAAACAAGCGGTCATCATACCAAGCATTATAAGAACAAGATCAACCGATTTAAGACCAGGACATCCCCTGTACATAGGAGCATCGGGTTGCAGAGTCTCGGCTTCGGGGTCGGGCAGTTCAAAGTCTATCAAAGCACTGCGACGTAGCTACAACTCCTGGCAGGAGCTATGGGTTCGTATAGACAATGCAAGTGGGTTTAGGGTTTAGGGAAAACTGGCAGGTAAATGTCTGCGCGGCGCGCTGGGGCAGCGCCACACTCAGCGCTAACTGGACCTTCATGGATGCTGCGTCTTGGCACCTGAAAACACCCAAGGTGTGCATCCGCGTCAGAGTTGGGTCTAGGGCTCCATTTGAATTCAGTGTGACTTTCCCGAATCCCGCTGAAGGTGGGCAATGGATGCGCTTCAATCCTCTTCGGCAGCATTTTGGGAAGCTCTTCATATGATCGCCATGCAGACAGCGGCCACTCTTGCTTTGGACCTCAGTGCTTCGCGCTGCCACACATAGTGATGGCATCGGCCTGCAGCTTCGTTGCACAGTGGAATCTCCGCATTTTCGCCCAAAGCTTTCACTGCTCAACTGAACGCGTTTAAGATTGCTGCTGTAGAGTCCGCTGCTACGCAACTCGACTTTGCATCATTTGGCTGTACGCTGTACGATCAGACGACTGTGTATAAAGCCAGCTTTACTTACTGTCGTTTTACGATCTTCGCTTTTGCAACGGCGGAGTGCTCGTTGCTCGTGTCATTGCATTGAAGGTATCGTCAAATGTCTGATTCCTATGAGTTGCTAGTCTCTTCTAGCTTACTAGCTTACAGCTACCAAGCATGAATTAGAGCTTCATTCCTTCCTCGTGACAAGTGATTTCGTTCTGGTTGTTCCCAGTCTGCTTACAACCTCAGCTTCTGCTTTCTGTTGCCTGGTATGTTCGCATCCTTTCCAGTAGATAATGGCAGCGTTATCCTAGCATCAGCATTTGCTTGAGGGCTTCGTTCGCATCTTGACGCACCATGTACATACACTGCCACAGAACTCCTCTTGCACATTCACACAACAATGTAATTATATGCCGCTGCACGACATTCGCCGGTGCTTCACATTGTGCCATGCCCATGCCGTTGTCAAGTCACTTGCTTGGATGTGTTTGTAGTTCTGCATGCTACTGCCCAGGCATGATGGACTGGCCTTTGTTCTGATGTTGCTTGTGGTTTCTGTTTCTGCAAGTGAGGCCTCGCTGCAGGGCTGAAGGCAGTTCAAGGAAAGTGCCGCAGTTTGAGAGTATTTTTTGGTGATTGTACACTCGCGGATAGCTGCCTATTCAATTCCAGGTTCTGCATCTTTAGCCCGATGGGGATGCGCCCCAAGACACGCCAAAGACACATGGCCGAACTGCGCTCGTCCAGGCAAGTCCTACCCTATGGTAGGACGGTGTCTTGGTTGTCATCTCCTCTGAACTCGATGGGAATAGGGAACCTCCGCTTTGCTCAAGCTGCATTCAGCACTTCGAGTGCCTGACTGAACGGGATCTAGGAAGAATCAGTGCGGTTCGTTCACCACTCCAGCCGCTACCAATGCCGGAAAACTGCTGATATTGTGCTGCTTCATTGCTTTGAAGTGCATGTGCTGTCGTATTCATTCAACTGCTTTCGTATGGTTTGCTTTGTGATGCTAGTGCCTAGCACATCTTAATTATGCAGTTACTTGATCGATTTTCCATCTTGTCGCATGACGAGGTCTTTGATTGCTATACAGGCTTTCATGTTGGATGCGTGCCATTTCGCTTCGCATTGCGAGACATGATGACGGGCACCAAATCTGTGAGTCTGACCGGGGTCCTGTACTTTCTGAGCTGTTGTTGCCGAGGCGCATGCGGGGCAGCCTTGTCCCTGGTGTTGATCTGGAAACACCCGCGCAACAGCGAGGTTCGACGATCCCTGTCTCAGTCGTTCAGGCTGCGCTCAAGTGTGGCAAACTTCGACATCACCTTTTGACACCTGCCTCTTGCCGTTTCGACAAGTCGAACGTGGTCATACAGTGCTGCAAGAGTCGATCCGTGTGCGAGCAGTACAGATCGTCCACCTTCACAACTACTGACAGTACTGACAACAGAGACTTGTCAGTGAATGAGCGAAGCGGTGAGTTCAAGCTCTGGAAGCCGGAAGAGCACGCTACGATGAGGACGCTTGAAGATTCTGCGCTGGGAGAACAAAGCAACATTGCTTCGAAAAAGATTTCTTGCAGAGTTTGCACAAGGTTCTCGAGTAAAGTGTTCACTACTACTACAGCCGTGGGAGTGTCAAAGTGCACGATGGTGGCTGCAAAGGTTCACGTTCATTTAAATACGACATTTCTCCCGGCTTGCACCACGGGCCACGGGTCTATCGTCTAAACGGCCCGTATCGCACAACTGGCATCATGAGATTGAGATCAATCGAACTACGGAAAATTTGCTACATTATGCTGTTATTGAAGAACTAATGACAGAATTATAATGAGCTATGATTTTCGACGGATTTCTATGGAAAAGATAAAAAAATTTTAAGATATATATTTTATTGAATATTGACCGAACGAATTACGACAATATTTTATCGATATTCTTTAATGATTTTATATTTATCTTATAAAAAATATTAGAAATTTTAATCTCTTCGATTCATCTATGAGCAGGCGATCTATAAAATAAATTCTCTTGACGGAATTTTGCAGAATATTTATTATGATATTGATTGATTTTTTTCATAGATATCATAAGTTCAATTGATTTTTTCATTACTATTTCAGAATGATTATTACATGAAATATGAAATATAGAATAATAATTTATATAGAATTGAAGATATACTATATTATTTTTCTTGATAAATTTAAATGAAATGATATTATATATATTCATATTATGAATCTTTATTTTTGAAATCGATATTATTTATAATAATTTATTAATATAATAATAGAAGATTACTCTTTTAAAATCTATTTAGATTTATTTTATTGAAAAATAATATTATTAATATTCATATTCACGAGGTTTCTATTTATGAAAATATTGATATATTGATTATATATCATATGAAATATATTGTAAGAAGAATTCT